TTTTTTTTTTTTTTTGCTGTTTGGTCTTTTTTTGTTGTTAGGCCCTTCTTAAAGTCCAGCCAGGCATGCCGGTAAGTGAGTGAACTCCCGTCCCCGCCCGAACAGCAACAAAAAAAACACGCCCCCCGCTCGAAAAAAAAAATAAACACGACCCCCGCCCAAACAGCAAAAAATCAAACAACACCGCTCAAACACCAAAAAAGAAAATACGCACTCGCCCAAACAGCAAAAAATGAAACACACCGCCCAAACAGCAAAAACAGAACCCGCCCAAACAGCAAAAAAGCTTCGGAGTGGAGCGATGAGGAAGGAGGGGGGGTTTTGCTGTTCGGGCGGGGTGCGTGTTTTTTTCTTTGCTGTTCGGGCGGGGCGTGTTTTATTTTTTTTCTGTTTGCGCAGGGGCGTGGCCCCCGTCCAAACAGCGAAAAGTCAAACACGCGCCCAAACAGCAAAGAAATGAAACACGCAAAAAATCCAAACAACAAAAAAGACCAGACAACAAAAAAAAAACACTCTTACTGCAGACTCGCTCAGTCCGACTTGGCCAGCGAACGGTTGCTCCTTGAGACGCAGCACTTCGTGGTCTCGGACACTTTCCTGCAAGATCCCACAAGCACAGTCAAGGCCTGCAAGCCACTATGGACAAGACAAGAGGCATCTTAGGCTCCATGAAGTGCTTCTGAGGCGCCATTTGCCTGTCGCGAACGCTGGCGGCTGTATTTGGCCCCGAAGCGGCATTCGCCGGACCAGCAGACGAGTGTGGTGCGGGGAATTTAGGATTCAGACATTCTGGCGTCATTGTTGGCTAAGTCTTTCAACAGATGAGAAAAGGATATGAGCAAACCATTTTTTGCCGCGATCCAACCGAAAGTGTAGACGCCGGGTTGTGCAAGTTTTCAAGCAGCATGGCGGCTTCAGCCGCCAGAGCCTTACAGAGGACTTCTTTGCCACCACAGAAGATGAGCTCGTTGACCTGGCGCATGTGTTGAAGAAAGTGCTCCAGATGTTGCCCTGCTGTAACATCATGTGGGCTTGCTGTGCTTGGATATCTTCGATGCAACCCAGGTATTACCACAAGCTTAGCGACTGCCCTTTCAACATTGCTGTTTGGACCCGGCCGACCATTGTGAAAGATGATTCCTTGTTTGGTGCTTTCAGGCCGCAGAAGCAGTCAGGATGACGTAGGCTACGTGTGAAAAATGCTGCGCCTGGCCCTTCAGGTGGCATTCAGGCGCAGATGGTGACTTGCCTGCGATGTATTCAGTGTCTTTTGCTTCATTGGCCTGTTCCTTGCTTTTCTGCAAAACGTGCATTTTTGGCTTGCATGCCGCAGATGATGAGAGGCTGCGCGTGCTGAACTGCTGTGTCAATTCTGCGCTGAGCTTTGGGTATTCCTCATGTGCCAGAGCTTCTTCGCCCCAGCGGTTTCTGAAAATAGCCGTTAATTAAAGCCGTAGAACTTGAACGCTGCCACTTTATGAAGAATGATGATCAAGTGCGCGCCGAGATTGCAGCCACTTCCACTGGTACATCGGCTTCTACCCCAGGGGTAAGCCTACTCCGCAGGGCTTCAAGAATGCCACAGACATCGCCCCAATGAAGACGCTTCCTGACGCCTGCCCTGATTGCTATATGGGATGGCAACAAGCTGTCTTCGCAAGCGTGACTATGATCTCCTGCATGCCAAGGAAGATGATGCAGCAATCATGCGGCAGTGGCTGACAGAACTGCAGTGACGCCGAGCTAAAGACACAGGATCCGCCACATGGATGTGGAATAGCTGCAAACAGGAACATTGGAACTACACAAACAAATTCTGTAAGGCTGCAAAGCTTCCATGGCAGCTTCACATCCCATCATCCAGGCTTTCTTGGCCCCAAGGCTTTGGGAAAACGATTGCACAACACAGCTTCCGTGTATAGTGGTCAGGACTGCAAATGCCAAGCATCCATAGTTTCCCAGAGCATTGGGATTCTTGTGCTTTTGAATGTTTTGTTTCGTGGCGGCAAAATTGCCCCTGCCATGCGTCCAGGCTTCCAACTCACCTCAGCCCAGCGCCACTTCCTTGCAAAGTAGCAGCAGCGTTGAAAAATACTGGGCTCTTGGCGACAATTAATGAAAAAGCAACAGTAGTGAGTAGTGATTGTCAATCATCAATCTGTCGATCTCAAGAGCCTGACGAAAAAATCTAAACAGCAGCAGGAGTAGCGCAGGGCAGATGAGCTGATCAATTTCAGCCACCAAAAGAGGGTCTGATGGTGTGTAGCCGTGTAGCTGTTGATCCACGTAGTATTGAGTGGGCCGAGTGGGCCGGGTCAAAGACTGCGCTGGAAAAGTCAGTTGGCGGTCCTCCCAGCACAAAGGCCCATCCAGGGTGTTTGAAGCGCAAAGGACAGAACAAGGGTCAGAAGCGCAGTGACCGTCAGAGTTATGGCTAGTTCTACTTGCACCAGGCGCTCAAATGTCAACGTAGTTTTGCTGCGAAGGCCCTTGAGGCTGTCCAAGCCAGGTGCATGATCCTGCAGGCCAAAGCCTGGCATTTGTCCATACTGGCGCCTGTCGTGTTCCTTCAGCAGCAAGACGCCCCCAAGGAAGTAATGGAGTCCAACATGGAAGATGGTTCCATTATTTGGACCCCCAAAATAGCAATAATGGTGCTCCCTCCACGCAGATTTTTTCTAAAATCATGGGCGCCAATATTGGTTCAGGCGGCACGACTACTCTCATGTGAGGTTCGTAGTATCACTGCATTAGTATGAGTATGTATGAGTAGCATGATCAGTAAAAGTAGTATGGCTGATATTATGAGGCAGACTTACCAACCAAGGGCCAGGCCTCCTACAAGAGTTGCTGTCATGCCCTTAGCTCTAAGCCAAATTCAGACGGGCTTCAGAAACGTAGCCTATGGCTGAAGGTTCTGTCGACAGTGCCTGCCCTAGAAGGCATCGTAGATTCTAAGTCGAGCTTCAGCTTGCACGAGCACAGGCAGACATCATCAGCAGAATAGTCATAATCTTCCTCCCCCCTTTCTTTACCCTTAGCACTACCGCTATGACAGTTCTTGACCCAGCCCTTTCGCTACAGTTGCCTTCACGCCCTCCTGATTCTGATGATCACGGCAGGGTTCATCATTGTCTTCGAGCTTGGTGTAGCAGCGTGGAAAAGCAGTAGCTGCCATAGCAACTTCAGCAATCATAGTGCAATGCTTGTTGGAGCAGAGAGAAGCCTGTCCATACCAAGGTCAAGCTTTAACTTTTAAATGATGGTTTGCAAGGCAGCATCTCAGAGGCAGCCTGTGCTAAGTGTCAAAACAAGGCTCTGTAGGCCTGAATGGCTTAGACCGGATAATCCGGAAACCTCTGCTCAAAGCAGGGGAAGGTGGGGAGGCGTCCAAAAGAGCGCGTGTCATGTGCCGGTGCATTTGCTTTCACTTTGTAGATCATGATCCCCCAGCGAGATTCCTTGCAGGGTGGTGAGGTTAGCTATATGTTTAACATACTTGGCACGCCTTTGTCCCATTATTGAGGATCTGCCCCCTCTTGAGGTGATGTCGCCAGCTCCATGTTGCCTTTCCTTCCACAGCTGAGCAGCTGCAAAAAACTCATTACCTTGAAGTTGCGTGCACAAGTTGGCAGAGATCCCCAGTTCGGTCATCAGATCTAGTTCATCACACCGAGAGCAAGCAAGCACACATGTCTCAACGGTGCGAGAGTTCTCACACTTATCCAGTGACTTTACGCGCAACATCAGGTTGCTGGCAAAAAAAGAGGGACAGCTCTTCATGTGGCCACCTTGTCTTCGTAGAGGGGCCGCCTGATGCCGCCTGTGAACCCACCCCAAAGATTAATTGGGAGAGTTGTTGGGAAAATGGGGGATAGAACAAGGAACCAAAAAGGATTCAGGATCTTCTTGATTTCCTAGATTTGTAGTTTCGTCATCCAAGGTATTTTGGGGGGGGGACATCATACGAAAGAGTAAAATGGAAATCTAGTTCGTTGGAGTTAGGGATTCCGGTAACCTCTTAGATAAGTGCTTTATATAGAAGAATGTCATTCAAGGAAACACGATTAATTGCTGAATAAGAGCTAGTTACTTGATGAGAAAAACAAATTTCCTAGATAATGAGCTAGTTCAGCAGAACAGGAGTGCCTGAGAATGTAGATAATCGGTGGGGCCCTTCGGAGTCTTTTGATTGTTGCTTGGTGCTTTGTGCTTGCATGCTCAGCAAATTTGCATTAGCATTGACGAGCTTCCGCAGGCTTCCCCTAGCAACGGCGAACCATTGCTTGCAACTCAGCAATCGGAGTCTGATTTGTTTTGCGCACGGCCAGAAACATTGCCATCCTTCGTGCTGGCCCAGCTTAGTCAGGAGCGCATTTGCTTCAGCCTGTTGCACGGTTCTGCATATAGACTTTGCAGTGATTTTCGCACCAAATTACATGAGCTTGGTTCCGAACTTTCTCGGTTCCGCGCTAACCTGGCAAGCCAGCATCTGCAATGTAGCCCATGTGCAGAACAAATGCCTTGCCAGAGGCCAGCAGGCCTGGAGCTCGATGCATCACGCAACTGCAAAGATCTCAGATTGCAGCCAGGTAGTCATGGCATGGAAAAGTGTCATACAGTCTCGTATGATGAGTTTTTATGTTGTAGTAGTAGTAGTAGTAGTAGTAGTAGTGGTAGTGGTAGTGGTAGTGGTAGTGGTAGTGGTAGTAGTAGTAGTAGTAGTAGTAGTGGCGGTAGTAGTAG